GCTCTGCAGGGCTGGCGGCCCTAGTTCTGCCCAGGTTTGCACAGCATCTGGGACAAGTCACTTACAACAGGGATGATGCCTCCTGCCCTCCCAGGGAGCAGGGGTACCAAGGTGAAAGACAACCCTTTAGGGTGGGGTGGGGTGGGGTCAGTGTCTAAGACTAGAGGCCAGCTCTGGGGCCCCGTTGGGGCAGGGCAGGCTGGCTGCCATGTCTGGAACACCCAGGAAGTGCAGGGGTATCCAGGCCCAACTCAGTAAGCCAGAACTAAAAGCTCTGGGGCCAGCCCCAGGTGGACCCTTTGTGGGGATGAAGATATAGGCGTGAACCCCACCCCGAGCAGCCCGCTCCCTATCTGAGGGGAAATCCACGCATTCTTCCTTGACCTCCTGTGTCCTGGGTCCGCAGCATGAGGAATGGCCGCAGGCACTTTAGGGACAGGTGTGACCAGCTTAATGAGAACAGCCCACTCCTCCCACCCTGCCCACCTGTCCGGGGTCTGAGCTGAGTGTGTAGAGCTGGGACTGAACTTGGGGCACCAGCCACCCCACCAGATGCCAGTGGCTTGAGCCAGCTTTAGACCCAGCCTAGCCTGAGTCTCAGCTCCAGCCCCGTGGCTCTCTGGCCCTGTAACTCTGGGCAACTTAGCTGAGAGCTCCAAGCCTCAGTTTTCTCATCTTTAAAATGGAGAGAAGAGCAGTTATCTCACTGGGTTGTTAATGAGAAATGTGATACGATGACTGCTGCAGAGCCTGCCTGTGACATAGCAAGTGTCAAATTTTGTCCCTCCTGGAGAGGACGCCTCAGGGGCTGGACCACTCTGTGAGGGATGGGAAAGGTTCTTCAAGGCCTGCCTGCCCCCTCGGAGCAAAGGCAGAGGGGAGGGCGACAGTGGCTGTGGTCTGTCCCTTCACTCAGCTCAGAGTCCACCCCAGGCCACTGCAGTCAGCCCTTCCTATTGGAGCAAATGGGACACCTGGCCTGGCCTGCCCTGACCTGGGGCTCAGGAGGGAACCCCGTGGAAGGGCTAAGGGCCCCTGTTCACAGTGTGCCACAGCCCCCACCCTGCCAACCACTACAGGCTGCTCCTGGCCCAAAGGGAGGGCCGTATGCCAGCAGCAGTCTTGGGCCGCCAGCCTAGAGGCCTGAACCCCCTTCTCCTTCAGGCCCAGGATAGATTCCAAACCCCCAGGTGGTCCCAGGCACAGCTCCCCAACTCCATCTGGGGCCCTGACTCATGCCCTGGACCTTAGTGACCGCCCCCCTTGCCCACTCACACTGCTCTCTGGTTCTCCGACATCTCAAACCTCAGGGCCTTTGCAACCACTATTCCCTCTGCCTTGATGTTCTTCCCCTAACCTCAGCTGGGCTGGCTCCTGTCACTCAGATCTTTGTACCCATGTCACCTCCTGAGCAAGACCCTCCCTGACCTCCTGATCAGAGCAGCCTCCAAGTGCTCCATCCTGTCCGGCTGGGATGCCCCAGACCTTGCTGCCTCACTCAGGCCTTTGCCCACAGGTTTGTCCCAGACACCCTCCTGCACACCTGCTCGGACCACCTCTGGGCCACCTGCTAGTGTAAGAGACCCCCTACAACGGCCCCCTGGTTCTGCTGCTCTGTGTGTCACAGCTCCTGGGACCGACACAGGCCCTCCATCTCACGGGGAAGGGGGCAGGGGCATCCGTCCAGGCCCAGCCCTTGGCTAGACCCTCTGCCAGGAAGCTGAGCTCATGCTTTGGGAAGCAGCCACGGCCCCGATTCCCAAAACAGATTCCAGCTTTTTACTGTCCCCATCCCCAACCAGGCTCATCTCCTCAGGCTCATCTTTCAGGGCCCCTGTCCCTCACACAGGGTCCCTGCCTCCGATGGGGGCAGCACCTCCAGCACCTCAGAGAGCAGATGGCCAGTTCTAGTGGGTAGAGAAGGCAGCCTGAGGGGCCCTGCCCTGCTGCTCCCACCACCCCTCCTCTCCAGAGGCTCTTGTTATGAGCAGGGACAAAGCAGCTCTGGGTGGCAGACATCTCCTTTCCCCTCTCACAGGGTTTCTCTGCCTCTGCCAGCTCTCCCCTAGCCTGGGTGTCTGCAAAGGCAGCTGGTGCCAGAGGAGGGAGGGCACCGCCAAGCCCAGCTGCAGCCTTTCACGCCCACGTGGAGTACAGGGGCATGGCTCTGTCATCAATCATAGACATTCATGGAGTGGCACCTCCTCTCTCTGGAACAGCCCTTGGGGGGGGGGGGGATCCAGGCCAAGTCAGACCACTGGCCCCCACCCTCCGGGCTCCCAGGCCATTGGCAGTGTGACCCGGAAGCAACCAGCACGCCACACCTGTGCTCCATCCCCACTCCCTGGAGGGACTGCAACGCAGCTGTTCTAAAGGACGGCAAAGACACCGCAGGCACCATCCAAGGTGGGACAGGAAGATGCAAATGCGGGCACAACCCATGATTTAACAACTAAACAATATGCGCAGCAGGGAAAGACGGGAAGGGAATCGTCACAGTGGTGGCTGTGATTACATTCAGGGCAGGGCTGCTTCTTTTACCACTTTCCAGTTTTCTGTAATGAGATTACAGATGGGTGGAAGGAAAAGAAATTACTCTTTAATGAGTTCTGTACCTGCAGGCACTTCACATTCCTTCACTGACACGATCTCAGAGATGCTATGCTCCCATTAGTGGCTCGGAGAGGTTAAGTAACTCAGGGGCAGAGCACATTACATCTGGATCAGAGCTACATTCAGGCCCCTCTTGACCAGGGGGAGCAATGAGGAAAGGACTCTCTCCAGTAGAGAAGAGGGTCAGGGTCAGGCCTGGCTGCTGCCCTTCTCCAGAAAGTAGGCTACCCACCGCCACTGTCATCGCCCCCCTGCACCTGACCAAGTGCAGCCCACTCGGTGTCTTTGCCCACACTCTACTCCACTGCCTCCTCTTCGCCAATACATCCTCCCACTGTCAAGGCTACGCTCTTGCAGGCTTCCTCCAAGAAGTCTTCCCTGATGACCCACATATGGTGGTCAGAGCCCGGCAGTGAGTACAAATATCCTCGCCTGGGATATTAATGAGAAATATCTGACCAACTGCCACTGGTCTCCCCAAGCCGTTCTTAACCCCCGCAGCCCGTTCTGCACGTGGTGGCCTGAGGGATGTGCAGGTGCCGTCATTCCTCTGCTAACACCCTCCCACAGCTCCCATCACCCTGAAACCCAACGCCCCTGCCCTTCATCATCTGCCTCTGCCGCCCTCCCCAGCCTCATTCACACTCCTCTCCGCCCAGACTTGCCTTCCTTCTTAACAAACACAGTCCATCCCTGCCTCACGGCCTTCGCTCCTCTCGTTCTCTCCACCTAGAAGTCCGTCCCGCCTTGTTTTCTCCCGCCTGGCCTCTTCTCATTGCTCAGGAGCCTCCCAGGGGTAAGGAAGGTTTGCCACCTCAGACGGGGAGTCTGGACCTGCCTGTGTAGGTCCCCCGTGGCCACACCACACAGCTTCCTCACCCTGTCATGCTGGCTGTTTGGCTCTGCCAGGGACCTGGTTCTGCCAACTGCCCAAGCCTTTGGCTCAAACTCTCCTTAACCCAACCCAGGACCCGGATTTCCCAGTCTGGCCTCTGGCTATTTTTTTATCTCCCCAACTTCTGCGCCAATCAGATGACATGGAAGCATCAGACCTTGATGGCTGCAATATACTCAGAGCAAGGATCAGTGCCCAAAGATGTTCATCACAGCATCTTTTATCAAGTGAACATAAAAGTCAGTCTCAATTTTCAACTGCAGAGAATGGGTTAAGGAAATTTTTCCAATTCCTTCTATCATATTCCTTTTGATTTACAACCCTCCAGTGGCGTCCTGCTGCTTTTAGGATGTCAGTAAAACTCCCTGCATAACCCCAAGCTGCCCCCGCCCAGTCCACCATCTCACCAGCACGCTTCCCACTGGTCATATTCAGCCTCACTCACTTGCTTTCCCTCCCTTGTATTCACCATACTCCCTCCTGCCACTGAGCCTTTGCACATGCTGTTCCCTCTGCCAGGAATACTCTCCCTTCTTCATCTAGTAAACCATCACCTTCCAGACCCCAGCTTGCACGTCCCCACCTCCCAGACCTGGGCAGGCCCCCATTACAGGATCTCATGACATTCAGTCTCCCCACCAGACAGGCAGCCCTGAGGGCTGGGACCACATCCGGTTTTGTTCAGAATGAGAGTCCAGCGGTCAGGGGTTAGGACTCTGTCAACAAACAGGCCCTTGACTTATATTTGTTGAATGAACAGAGTATTTTCCAGCCATTAAAAATGATGAGCATGTGAAGTTTTAATGATATGAAAAATTCACCTAATCATATTGAATGGAAAAAAGCAGATTTTCAAGTTATAGATGCAGAATGATAACACATAGGTTTAAGGGGGGAAAAAAAGAGTAAGGACATAAACCAAAATAATAGTTGCCTCCAGGGAATGGCAATTTTACTCCTGCATCAAACTGTCCACATATCCCACAGGGTCCATCTTACTTTTATGATCAGAAAAAGCAAGTCACTAAGCAATTCCCTACTGTTTGCCCCCGGAGCTGGTTCCTCCAGCCAGGGTGTCCTCTGCCACCAACAGAAAGACCAGGGTCAGATAAGGAAAGGTTCAAGGGCACGGTTCTGGGTGGCAGACAAGAAGGCTGGTGGGAAAATGGGCTGGCTCCACTAGGACAATCTCAGATCCTGGAAGGGGGAGAATGGGGGCAGAGAGGCGGTGGAGTCTGAGTGACCTTGGGCAAGATGCCAGGCCTCCCTGGAGCCCCATTTTCTCATCCACAGTAGAACCCGCCTCCCGGGCTGGGGGAGCATGAATAGATCGGCGCACGTACAGCCTGCATCGGTGCTTGTCACTAGTTGTTCAAGGGATCACAGTCAGACAGAAAGAACGTCCATGTGCTGCCGGCCTCCAGTCGGTCACAGAGCGGCTCTTCCGGGAGATCCACGCCCCACCCAGCCCCTTACCCTTGGCCCTGCGCACCTTCCTTGGAGCCGGTGGCTGCCGCCGTGGCAGAGGCTGAGGCTGACCCAGCAGACGTCCGGCCCATGGGGCTCGAGTGTTTTCCCCCACGGCCGGGGGGCTTCAGGCCGCTGGGCTTCTGCATGGTGGTGCCACTCAGTGGGTGGAAAAGGGCCCGTGCAGGTCACGTTCTCCCTGCCATCGTCACTCACCTGCGGGTAGAGAATAAGAGTGATCACATCATAAGGTCACCCCGATATCAACACCGCGGGACTCCAACACTGCCAACACTGTGAGGCACAGACTACCATCACCCCTCTTCTCCTACATAGGTAAACTGAGGCACAGAGCAGCAGCAGCAAGAGTGGGCCCAGTGTGGCAGTGGTGCGGCCACGACAAGTGTCCTGGTCTGCTGGACTCAGAGGTTGGGCACGTTCTCTTTGCCCACCTCCTGGGCCCAGGAGGCGAGAATCAGGAGCAAAATGGCTTAGGGTCTACAGCAATGCTGTATGAACCCCAGAAACCCCAGGCCAGGGTCACAAGGGCCTGCACAGCCCCCAACAGCTGAGCGTGTCCCTCACCACAGAGCACAGGCTGGTGTGGATTCTGACATGCACGGCAACCCAATGAGTTCCCCTCCATCAGCCCCCAGACTCTCTAGGACTAGCCAATAACCCACACCCCTCCTGATGCGTCTGACAAAGCAACATCTAACGTCATCAACCAGCTCACTGCTCTGCCTCGCCACACAGCCCTCACTCCCGCTCCTGGGCTCACCCTCCCAGCACTGCCCACTCCACCGGTGCGGGGACATGCACACAGAGAGGCCTCATCCTTCGCCAGCACGGACTCACGTGCCTCTGCCTACCCTCCCACCATTACAGCTCCCTGCCTCTATGACTAAAACAGGAAGGGCGTGACACGTACAGTGTCTGGGGTGCACGGGGCACTAGCATTTTACAAAGGGGACCCTTGAGAGGGGAAGCCTCCAGTCTCCGAGGCATAGAGGACAGGCCACCGTCCCCTGGCCTCCTCCCCCACTGTCCTGTGTGCACACCCTCTTGCACCGATGTCTACAGAGGCCACACCACGGGCCTGGCCCCTTTGTGCCTGAGCTCGGGAGCACACCGTCCAGTGGGGAGAGGGAGTGCAGAGCACCACGGGTGAATGGAGGATTCTGCATGAAAGCCTGACCCCCTCAGGACCTGAGGAGGGGAAATCGAAGCTTCTGGGCACTCCACTCCGACAGAGTCAGGGATGCCAAACCCTGTGCCTGTCCAGCCATATCCCTATCCCCCCTTGGTCACGGAACATTACCCCTTTAGAGAACCCTTTTCTCCGCTCTGGGTCCACATGTCTTATGGGGGCTGACCCCGCACACACTCCTGGAGTAGACATGACGCAGACCTGGTCAGAGCCCTAGTGGTTCGCTGAGGGGGAGTCACGTGACCCGAGGAGCATCAGGGCCTGGACTCTGGCTGGAACCTTTAGGAAGAGGTGCTCTCCTCGCCGCGGGGCTGCCTGGGTGTGGGATGGACGCCAGTAACTGCAGGGCCACCCCAGCTACCGCCTGGGAGAGTCTCCAGGAACAATGCCAACACAGAGAAAGCAGAGCTGAGTGGCTGGACTTGGAGGGCCTGGATCCAGCTGAGCCTGAAGACGGTCACTTGAGGCCCTCGCTTACATCAGCCAACACATCCTCTCTCACTCATACACACACACACACACACGCACAACACACACACACACACGCGCACACACGCGCGCACACGCGCATCGTTTCCTCTTTTTGCCTAAACCTATCTGAGGGACACCATTGCTTGCAACCACAAAAGTCCTAAGTAATACAGAAGCCAACCTACAATGCTCACGACAGGAATGCACAGTGTCCTCAGAATGGCTCTCAGGCCAGCAAGATGAGCCAGCAGCTTCTACCTGTCCTGGGAACATCAGCCATGGGAAGGGTCGGCTCCTTACATGGGGCTGCCAGCCATACGAACAGAGGATAATAAGCTCCCCCACTGCACACAGTGCCGCGCCTACATGCCCAGGTGAGCCGACAGGAGCACGGGGCATTCTTGCCAACCCTGACCTGGCCCTGGAGCCTGCAAACCCAACACCACAGTCCCCTGACCCGCGACTCTGACACCCCGGGAATTCTGGGGCCTGGAGACACTTGGTCAGGCTAGAGCATGAGGCTGCTCCCTTGCTCCCCAGAATCAGGCCCTCCAGGAAGCTCGTTCACTGGGGAACTGCCCCATAGTTGGTGACGTCTCTGTGAGCCTGGTTAGGCTGCGGTGGCACCCCCGAGCCTGACAGGGACACGCTGAGCCAACAAGGGCATGTGAGGGTGGTCTCTGATGACAGCAAATGGGTGGCCACTCTGTGGGTGGCCAAAACAAACTTCCTGTTCCTGTGGCTTAGCCAGGGGACCCTCTGACCCAGGAAATCTTGATGCAGCCCACATGCCTGAGGCAGAGAAGAGTGTGTTGCTGGGACTGAAGCCTGGACCCACTCCCCATGCCCATGGCCCCTTCTCTGCCCAAGACCCTCCCAGAGAAAAAAAACTACAAATCATATATCTAATAAAAGACTTGTATTCAGAACATATAAAGAACTCTTACTACTCACTGATGACAACCTAATGATACATGAACAAAAAGCTGAACGTCATTTCACTAACCAAGGAAGATACACAAACAGCAATAAGCACGTGGAAATATGAGCAACATCATCAGTCACTAGGCAACAAGGACCAAAACCTCAAAGAGATACCACTTCACACCAATTAGAAAGGCTTAGCAGCAGGGAAACGGACAATACCAAGTGCTGGTGGGAGGCACAGAAACTGCACACGCACGTTGCTGCTGGAAATGAAAAACGGTACCACCACTTTGGAAGACAGTTTGGCGGTTTCTTAAAAACTTAAATACATACCTACCATACGACCCAAACACCCAAGAGAAATAAACACATATATCCATACAAGGATTTATTTTTAAATGTGCATAGCAACTTTATTCACAATAACCAAAGGATGGTAAAAACCCAAAGGTCCATCCACTGGTGAACGCACAAACATGGCGTGGCTCAGTGGCTGAGCATCAACCTGTGACCGGGGAGGTCCCGAGAGGTCGTGGTTTGGTTCCTGGTCAGGGCACATGCCCAGGTGGCAAGCTCGATCCCCACCCGGTGTGGGGCATGCGGGAGGCGGCCGGTCAGTGATTCTCTCTCATTGTTGATGCTTCTATCTCTCTCCCTCTCCCTTCCTCTCTGAAATCAATATATATTTGTATATATAAATCCAAACAGTCCATCTATACAATAGTACAGCACTCAGCAATAGTAAGAAAATACTGACACATACAACAAATATGGATGAACCTCTAAATGCATTATACTAAGTGAAAGACATCTGACAAAAAAGGATACATATTGTATGATTCTATTCATATAAAATTTCAAAAGTAGAGACAGAAAGCAGATCAGCGGTTGCCTGGTGGTGGGACCAGGGACTGACTGAAAACACACATGAGAGAACTTCCTGGGGGGAAGAAATGTTCTAAAATTGGATTGTGGTAATGGCTGCATAATTAATTGTATGTTTAGATTAAAAGTCATCAAACCGTCAGCTTAAAATGAGTAAATTAAACCTCAACTTAAAAAATACATATTTAAAAAATCCTCGAAGGGTCTTCATAGTAGTGCAATGGCCTTCAAAGCCCTCCTCACCTCTCACCTCCACCACCGCTGACCCTCCCTCACCACTCAAACCACACTGGCCTTCAGCAGCTCCTGGATCACACTAAGCACGCTTCAGCTTCAGGGCCGTTTGCACATGCTGTTCCCTCTACTTGGAATGCTTTTCCCTCAGATATCTAGGTGTGCTGTTCATCTCTTTCAAGTACCTGCTCCAATGTTCCCTTCTAAGATTGCAACCCCTACCCAGTCCTCCCCACCCTGACCCTGTTGTGTTTTTCTCCACTACACATGGGCAGGGACTTGGGTCTGTTTTGTTTGCTTTGGCACCCTTAGTTCTGACAAGGGTGCCTGCAGGAGCTCAATAGATCACCTTTGAATAAATGAATGATGCTAGCCCATGGCAGGAAGAGGCCCAGGAGGTCCCCCTCACCTCTGCAGGGCCCACTACTCAGGACTGAGTAGCTTGTGGTCATCAGCCCAGCTGGCTGGCTGATGCCATGGTGTTTCACGTAGCTGGTCTGACCTCTCCACTAGCCAGGGTGCCCTTGGAGACAGCGACCAGGTATTATAACCACGTCCCTGCATTGGAGGCTCCCCACCAAGTATGCTGCTGCTACCACACAACTGACACTTCCCCACCTCCCAGACTCTGCCTGTGCCTTTTCTCCCACCTGCTTCACCTATTCCAACCTCCTGTGAGAACACCTAACCTGATGCCTCCTCCTCCTCCAGGAAGTCTCCCAGGATTTTACCCTACAGAAACCTCAGGACACACACTGAGCTAGGAGAGAGGATACTGTTCTCATTTGCCTCCTGAGAGCTCATGGACAGCCCCAGGTGGGGCCATAGTCTCTCGAGAACTCAGCCCCTGCCTGATGTCCGGCACAGAGCCCATGATCCAGAAACTCCATGGACAGCACACCTGCGGTGGCCCAGGGGACAAATCCCCATGGGCGCTCCTCCCAGGAAAGGCTTCCGGAGGCGTTGCCCTGATGATCCCCACAGCCTCCAGTATGAAGAACCTGTTAGGCAGCAGGCCTTGTGGGAATGTGGCCTCATGAGTCCTCACACGCCCTGAGGAGGCAGTGCTCATCTTAGAGGCAGAGCATCTGAAGCTCAGAAAGTTCAGGGATTCACCCAAAGTCACACGCAGCTCAGTGGCTGAGACCAGATCCCGCGCGGGCCCTCCACGCACCCTGCCCGGCCCAGGCCTGGAATAACATGTGTGAAACCCCTGGCCTCTGGAGAAAGCGTGCACACGCCTCGCTGACCAAGGAGACCAGAGGAGCTGGTGGGAGGAGAGAACCAGGCAGCACTGACTCAGCCCCAGCCACTACTGCTGAGGGGGTGGGGAGGGCCAGGGGAGGAGAGGCAAGCAGCCCACTCCCCACCCCCACCTCCCCTAGAGCCTCCAACGCTGGGGGAGCACGGGAAGGGGAGATGAGAAGAATGGTGAAGAGGAAGAGGGGGAGGAGGCTTCGGGCAAACTGGCCTTTGTGACTCAGCTCTG